GATTCTCATATGTTGGGTTCTATATTGGGGTCCTTGTATCTAGGGAAACTACAATGCAACTATGATATCGGGTGCCCCAAACGAGACCTGAACATGATGTTGGTAACTACTTCGGGCTACAGTCTTGCTATTTCAAGAGTACCTGCTACACTTGCCATAATGAGCCGTACTGGCTCTGCTGGCACTGTTGCTGTTTAGCAGTGGCAGTAGCTCCTGTAGCGATGAGCGTGGTCATGAGGATGCTAGCGCCCATAACCCAAATGAAGCATGAACTTCCAAACGCAAAACTCTTTTGAGAGTGCTTGCATCTTGTGCAGCTAATCCTTTTACCAACTTGCTTTATGTGTCCATCTCTAGGCTTACAGCCACGCCACAGTCTCGGTTACCACCTGCTCAACCCTGAACCCTCCAAGGACAAACTGCACCTGAACAAAGTGCACTTAAGGGCCTGGCTGTCAGCACCGAGGGTGTCGTACATGGGGACAGTCACAATGGACTCACGGATGAAACAATTCAGAGGTAAGTATTCTGGGCTTCAGTGCTTGAGGGTATAGGCTTTGGGCGTTCAGGGTTCGAGGCCTCGGGCCGCTGAGTCGGGTGAGAGTTGGGGGTCCAGTGAATTCCGGTATCACCGCCCGCAGAACCCTGTCAAACAACCACGAACCATCAAATGAATGCGGCTCCGACGACGTTGGGGATGATGATGACGATGATGATGATCATGATCATGATCATGGTCATGATAATGAAGATGATCATGATGATGATGCTGATGATGATAATGATGATAATGTAGAAGAGAATGAGGACAACGATCGATGAACATCACAACGGTCGCGATTGCTGCTACGACTACTGCAACGATGAAGAAGAGAAGGATGATGGTGCTGGTCATCTACGGTGTTGTTCCTAGGGTTTAGGGTTTAGGGTTTAGGGGGTAGCCAACCACATGCTATCTTAGACGTCTAGGTGCCCGTGCAAACGACCCGCCAAGAGCACCCAGAGACAATCATGTCCGCATGAAAGATGGCAAGTGCTACCTGATGTAACCTTAAGCACTTGAAAACAGAAAGATAGCCAAATGCTAGGTAGAAAGCCTCTTCTCAAAGGTCCAGAAGTAGGTCACTCGTGGTCAACCCTGGAGACCTTTCAAAGAAGAAACAATGAAGCGCGCAAAAGAAGGACTAGCCGCAAAGCCTCTTTTTGAAAGTGTATGGGGTTTCCCCAAATTAGAGGGTACAAATTTAGGGGCTCCCAAGAACAAGGACATAATATTGGGTTGAGGGTTTAGGGTCTATATAGGGGTCCCCGTGTGTATGGAACCCCTCGACCCTAAACCCTGAACCAGGTCTGTATTGGGGTCCCCCGATTTTGGTTGACCCTAAACCCTTAAACCCTTAAAGCCTTAAACCCCTAAACCCTTAAACCCTTAAACCCTAAACCCCTAAACCCTAGGTGTCCCCCTGTTTTGGTTAAGAGGCCCTGGAGACCCGGGAAGCCTGGCCTGGGTGAAGCAGCCCTGCTCTCCGATAACCTTCAGGCTTCAGGGTTTTAGGGTTTTGGGGTTTTGGGGTTTTGGGGCTTAGGGGTTTAGGGGTTTAGGGGTTTAGGGTTTTGGGGTTTAGGATTTGGGTTTAGGGCTCAGGGTTTAAGGTTTTGGGGTTCAGGGTTCGGGGTTTAGGGCTTAAGAGGGATTTAGGCTTCAGGATTTAAGGTTTTGGGGTTTAGGGTTGAGGGTTTAGGGTGGAAGGCGTAGGGTTTGGGTTTGATGGCTTGGGGCCTAGGTCTTAGGGTTTAGGGCTTAGGAGAGTTTGGTTTTAGGGTGTAGGGTGTGGGGCTTAGGGTTTGGGTTTTGGGGTTTAGGGCTTAGAATTTCGGGTTTAGGGCTAAGGGCTTACGATTTAGGGTGTAGGATCTACGGCCTATTGCTTGGGGCCTTAGACCAGGTGGTGGGATGAGGAGAACAGGGTTGAGGCTTAGGGTTTAGGGTTGAGTAAGGGTTTAAGCCTTATGTCTGAAGTTTAGCGCAGGGTTTAGAGTAGACGGGTGAGGGTTTACCACATAATTGGTTTGGGTTTTCAGCATGGGCTTTAGGGTTTAGGGTATGTAGCCTGAACTACTACAACTAATGGAGAGCTGAATGGAAGAGAAAATGAAGAGCCAAACCAAAACACTAGTTTTACAGGGTTTAGTGTCAGAAAGGCCTCAGGGTTTGAGGAACTAGGTTGCATGGCACTACTATTTGAAAAGTTAGGGCTGTGATGGGACCAGCCTACATAGAATGCCTTGCTACCAGAATTTTATCAGCGAAGCTGCCTCCTTTTCGATGCTTACCCTCCACCGCGAAGCCAGCCCTCCGACGGAAGTTCCACCCAGTAACTTACTGGGGGTGAATAGGGAATGAGGGAATATATCATACACGATCTATATAGGGATTATATTCCCTTATTTCTACTATAACCCCCATAAAAACCAATGTAGTAGTTGCCATTTTCTGTTCCATTATCCCTATATTGCCCCTATGTGCCCCCGTTTTGTATCCCCGAAAACCCTAAATCCTAGGCCCCCAAACCCACTCTCTCGCTCGCGCTGTCTCTCCCCCGATATATAGATACATATAAATATATCATATTGTTCGCTTATTCCCTACTCCCTACCAACACCGAGTAAGTTGATGTGGGCATGTTGGGCTTGGGGTGTAGAGTTGGAAGTCCAAAGGTGAGCCTTAATGCGATACAGAGCACACATGCGTTGACGAGGAGTTTGTGGGTTCAGGGTTTTGGGGTTTTGGGGCTTTGGGGCTTAGGGGTTAGGGATTAGGGGTCAGGGATTAGGGGTTTAGGATTCAGGGGTTTATGGTTGCGTGATGATGCGTGGATGCGTGCAGGGTTACGAGCACGCGATCAATCTCATGCGGAAGATCTTCAGAAAATACATCGATCTTTGTCATATACTTCTTCAATAGCACATTGCAATCTGACTCTATATTGGGACCAGATTCAAGATGTATACTCCCCTGAATGCCATCGCAAGTGTAGAAGCAGACTTGGGCACAAACCCACTCGGGCCGATTCTTGGAGTAGATCCTTGGCATTTGAAATAAGCGTGTTTCCCAAGCTTCCCCTCGGACGTGTTCCCTCTTAGAGACCGTCCCCGCAAAAATCCCCTTCAGTTGCCGTGCTTACTCTAAACCCTAAACGCTAAACCCTAAACTCTAGACCTTAAACCGCAAACCATAAACCATACACAACGCTCGCCTACAGGTTGGTACTTAATCGCTCATGGCTTTGTAGCCTTCAGTGTTGGGTTGAGGGTGAAAAGGATTTAGGGTTTAGGATTTCAGGTTTAAGGGTTTAAGGTTGACGGTGAAAAGGACTTAGGGTTAGAAGTTCATAATCGCGATGCAAAACTGCTAGACGCCTGGCAAATTCAGATCTGAATCCCCAACAACAAAACAACCTCATAATCTCCAACTTCAGCGTCGCTGTTGAAGGCTGTAGCTCTCATTCTGCGACCCACCCTAGTCTTTGGAAGTTTGCCACTGCGGTATAACCCTTGAACAAAACTGCATCACCCTAAGGACCCTAAACCTTGCAAGTGTGACAGTGTGGTAGAACCCTGAGTTTCTTAAACCCCAAATTAAAAGCTCTTTTCAAAATCTCGAGATTAACCCCAAGATGGTACAAACTTAAACCCTGAACCCTAAAACCCAATACCCTAAACCGTGAACCCTAAGCCCTAGGGCCCTAAACACTGAACCCTAAACTCTAAACAATGAGCACCAAAACCGAAACCCGCAAGTGGCAGTTTTCCAAAACAGGGCACCCAATATGGACTCAAATACTATGATCCTTACGAGCAGAAGTAACGCTGAAAAGGTACCATCCCTAAATCTGAGACCTAAATCCTAAACCCTACATATATTCATATATACATATATCCCTACATACCCCTATATAGCCCCTATAAAGCCCCTTTAAAGGGACCCCTTCTGGGCGAGGTGAGGTTTCCCACTCGGCTCATTTGCAAAGGTTTGCGGATTCGGGGTTCAGGGATCAGGGTTTCCCAAA